TTGCAGCAAAGCTATTCTCGGGGACGGCTTGGAAGAAGTCTCGGCGAGTTCATCTTTTGTAGTGGTGTGTGAAGCCGAATATAAAATTCATGCATACCACGAAGGTTGAGGTGTGAAAATCGCCTGTTCCTGCAATTGTTCTCCTCATATTAGTGTCGAGTACGGATACGTGGACTTAAAATGGAGGATCTAACTGGGCATTCCGAATCGAGTCGTGATGAATTTTTAAACGATCCCCCTGCCAGTACACTCCATTCCACAGTGTCAGTTGACGAGACCGAAACACAAGGCCCTGCAGGGTTTCTGGAGAGTTCAGAGGAAACCTTGGAAGTCGGCGGGGGCGAGGACAGCGATGAAATTGCATGTACAGATACGAACGTGGGTGAACGAAATTCGTCACCTGTGGAAGTCGCTAGCGGTGATTTGAAATCAAGTGAACAAGGCGAGACAGAATTGCAAGGTGGTCCGACGAGCAGTCAAAATGCTGGCGAACTCGAACTCGTGAATAAAACAACTCCAGCAGAGGTCGAGAACGGCACGAACAATGAACAAGACACAACGCAAAGCCACTTGCAAATAACGGAAAACAGCGGTAGTACTGTTGAGGTATCCCCGACAAGTGAACCATTAAAAGACGCCAGTGTATCAGAGGGGAGCGATAGTTCAACGCAACTCGATATCACAACAAATGCCCTCGACTCCGGTTTAGAAGTTCCAGGGGACGAACCTTTGTTGACGGCAGGAACCGGAAGTGAAGTCGGAAAGGAAAACGCTGAAACAAGGACTGCCCAAGAACAACAGGCTCTAGAGTCACTTTATCACATCAAGTGGATAAAATGGAAAGGAATTAACACCCCTATCATCACTCAAAATGAGAACGGTCCTTGCCCTCTGCTGGCAATTGTAAACGTACTACTTCTGCAGAGACGAATTAATCTTCCCTCCCAGCAGACATATATTACATCAGGGCAGCTCATGGAGTACATTGGAGACTGCATCCTAGAGGAATCACCCAAGGTTTGTGAGTAATGTGACCACCATTTGGCCATAAAAGTATGACTGTATTGTAACAAGGTTATTGAATTAATGGGGAATGTTCAAATAATGATGCTAGTGCCTAGGCATTTTAAATGATATCATGACAGAGAATAATTTAATTCTCATGATCAAGCAGATGTTTCAATGTGGCTCAGTTGTTTTTGAAGAATAATTGTGGCCAATAAGGTTCTAAAATTCTTTAAAACCCTGACCAGTCTGAGGCACAGATAGTGTTGAACTTGCATTTAGACTTGCATTACAGTGTACATGTAGGTGACAAAACAGGCAACCAAGTTTGCTTGTCACTGTACCCTGGGAAACTCCCATATATATGAAAATGTGGAGGATGTTTGTCGAAAAATTTGAATAAAAGTTCCCTAAAAGGAGACCAATGTGGGCATGGCTTAGCCTGCGTAGCAAGCGTTTCCGTGGGTTTGGAAGCAAAGAAAGACCGAGGAACGGGATTTTCGGTGTTTTGTCTGCACGGAAAATGGGGCGAGAGCCAAAAAGAAAAGAAAGAGGGGGGTGGGAGAGGGGAAGGAAGGAAATGCTTGCAGACAAACCCCTGGATTTTGAAAACCTCCGTTCGCCAGCGAACGGAGCTCATGATTGGCTGGGCTAGTCCAATATTATTGACATGTGTCGATCAAAGGTATTTTAATACCTTTGAGTGCCAGGCAAAAGGGGAAGACGCATTCAAAGCTTGGTTACAAAACTCTTTAACTTTTCTCACTGAACAAGGATTTAGTCGTCAGCTTCGACAGTACGGTAGAAATCCTGTAGTGTAATGCCGGCACTTTTGTTTTTCGAAGCCTGCACATGATTGCAGAAGTAAGCGCGACACAATTTGCAGCTGTTCCTTTAATTTTAACATCACTTTCTTGAATGCCACATGCGCCAAGGACAAGATAATAAACCACGGGACAGAA